CTTTCCTACTCTTTTGGCTCAACAAACAAAATTCTCTCCTTATCCCAATCAAGGAAGCATGGAGTCCATACCTCATGTGTCCTGAGCATGAATTTGCCAGGCCACAAGGCAGAGACAAACTTATCATGCAGTCTCCAGGAAGGGGATTGGGCAATAAACTCAACCCAACTGTGGAATCAATAATGAGAATTGGAGGTAATGAAGTAGGGGGACCAACTACATAATTCGTGGGGTCCAGTGTGAAGTGAAAATGCAGAGCTCCTTTTCAAAATGCAGGAAAAAAAAACAGCGTTAAAGGAGCTAAAATAGAAAGTTGTTACCCTTCTTCTACTGACTCCATAAACTTGCGATGGTGGTTATTTGCAACTTAACACTATTCTAAATAAAGTTAAAATGTTAAAGCACTACATGGATTTTTCCATTAATGTTTATATGGCTGTCAGTTTTAAATGAAAATGTAAAAGCATTCAGTGTACATGTGGAATGACCAAAATTGCACAACTTATATTTCATAGATTTACATGCTTGTGTTTTTCATTCTTACTAAAATAGTGGAAACACTGAAGAAAACTCACACACACACACACACACACACTGTTTCTATTTCATCTGTTTAGGTGCACACATTCTCACCAACACTCTACCTTCAGCTTATGAGTGGGAAAAGAAAGACTGAAAGAAAAGGCCTTAGGGTACCTTCTCTCTCCCTTTCCTTCTATGGGATAATTTTTGTCACAGTGATTAGCCAATATAGGGAAGAAACACAATAAGAAAGGACATAAGAGGGTTCTTTGGTCATTGTGTTTCCTTGAGAAGAGCTGCGTTCTTTTCTTATTAGAAGCATGTTTTTATGCTAAGGGAAATGGCATCGTCTTGGGGCTGCCAGCACCCCAGCTTACTCAGCTGCAGCCATAACAGGCCTACATGGAGTCTCATTGACTTTCCATGGTTTCGGAGCCCAGTGGAAGTGTCGTTCATGGTATGACAAGGAGTAGCCACATATTGAGTCACACATATTGAGCAAATCTTCAGTGTCACATGGATGCATAATTCTTTCATTAGGCACGTCTAAGGAGACACAATTTCACAAATAAAATTAAGAATAGCAGAACATTAAGCCAGGAGTGGAGCCCTTCTTTGTGTGGGTGTGTAGGGTGCTATGCAGCTGCACAGATTATTTGCCCAGGATGCTGACCCTGTGACATGACCATTCTGCTTTATCCCTCCCACCTCTTCCTCTCACTATCCTTACTATTGTTGAGGACTGTAAGGCCCTGTCCACAGTTTGGCAGAGAAATCTTGCCTTACTTTCTTTTCCCCATACCTATGACTTTTCCTGTGTGTGTGTGTGTGTGTGTGTGTCTTTTGCTCTTTACTTGTTGGCAATCTTTCTGCTCCATCTTGCAAAAATGGGTCATGCTGCCTGGAGGGAAAAGATCATTCCAATACATGTGCCTCAGGAGGAATTTGAGAAATAGCAACTCTAGTTATGTTGAAGATGAAGTGTATTTTTATGATGCTTTTGGACTGTTTGCTATGTTTAAGATCATTTCTATTGATATAGGTAAGGAGGAGTCACCAAAGATTTAAAATAGAAAAGGAAATTTTAAAAAGGGAAATATTCCATTTTAGGAAAGTCCTTGGCATGGACTTAAATTGGAGGAATCTGGAATAAATCATAGAAATTATTTAAAACAAAGCCATTTGTTACAACCCTTTGTAATATAACAAGATTGCCTCAGACTTTAGAAATGGATGATACTGTGATTTCTTGATGTTGCTTGTGAGGTAGGGATAGGACAGTTGAGATTTATTTTGTAGACAGCTTCAGAACAGGGAGGAAATATTTCCTAATGAGAAGTGCTGGACTGCAGAAAGATGGAAGATGACAAGAACTTCTAAGGGTTTGAGAGGTGTTTCAGCCAGTAGCCTGGGCTTCACAAAAATCACCTGGCAGCTATGGTTCTTCATGAAGTTGCGCAAGATTAGGAGTGGCGTTGTGACTCTCTTAGGGTATAAGTCTTACAAATCCAGTCCATCTCTGCCACACTTCAAGACTGGGCCTTTTTCTGAGGTGCTTTCACAGTTCTCTATAATTTGTCTCAATCTAGAGATGCAAAGTAGGAAGGGAAAGCCATTACCCTTCCTTGCAACATCTGCATAGACTTGGAGCTTCTTACAGCCTCATTTTCCTGAACTAAGTAAATTATTCTATCACTTTGAAATGAGAAGAAATCCTATATTTAGTATAAGCTTCTCCATGCAAATTTTGACTTAATTGATTTAGGATTTTTGGTTTTGTTTTTTACTTATTTTGGACTTTTCATTTTTTTGAGGATTGTTGTTTTTAACTGTTTGGTTTGATTTTATTTTTGTTTGTTTATTTTTCTTCATATAACTATTCAGGGAATTTAGGGGGGTTACTTGGGACTGTTACCCATATTCAGCTTGTGAAATTGCCTCTTATTTGAATTAAAACCACATGTGGAAATCTGATGGTACTGTTGAGCTCTTGTACCATACGTTTAAATTTTAAGAAAGTTTAGGTAGTTTGTCTTAAATAACAATCTCAGGATAAATGGAAACAAAACTGTGAATGCTTACATCTTGTCCTATGTCAAGCTTTCTTTCTTATTATTTCCATAGTATAAAAACTGTTAGAGAAATATCATATTCTTGCTACCTCCTTTGGAAATTCCCCTGTGCAAATCCCAAGCTAACGTTGTTAAACTAATAAATCCAAGTAAATCAAACTCTGAAAGGTATTGTGTTTCTAAACTTTACTTATAAATGCGTAATTTAATCCATCTCTCTTCATAATTAGATGGCCTAAACACACTAAAATGTTATATCAAAGAGATAAATGTATTAAGGTAGACACAAATGTTTTCTTCTTCCAGATATTGATATTCCCAAATCTAGAAGTAAAATTAAAACTTCAATAAAGTGAAATTTCATAATGATGATAATGATACTTGTCAATTTCCTGAAATAAAAAAATGAATTGCATGTACTTTTGTGAAGGCTTTAACAAACCACACCCAAATGATAGCATCATAATCAGAGATACTCCAGTTCCAGATTTATATTAGAAATTAAGTAGTACTTAGAGATATTCCAGAGTCAATTCTATTGAAATATTTCAATATTACTTTACAGAACAAATTTGAAGATATTGACTACTGTATATTTAGCACCCTTTGATAGCTCAGCTGGTAGCATGGAGGACTGTAGACCCAGATAGACTATTGTATATTTAGACCTGGATAGACTATTGTATATTTAAAGAACTAGTCATAGTTACTTGACAAGTAACACAATGATCAAATAGAGGTCAAGCAGAGTATGACACTTCTCCAACTTAGGCATCGGCAACTCAGGACACCAGACAATTATTTTCATACTTTGTTGGGCAAACACTTGTGAAAATTTCTTACTTTATATCATTAGCACTGCCTCTAGCAAAGTTCTTTACAAATCTTTAAAGACTGCTAAACTGACAAGCATTTCCTCACACATTTCTAGAAGAATCATAGTGTCTAACTGATAACAATGACTACATTTTATATTCTCTCTCCTGCCTCCCTCCCTCGCTCTTTGTCTCCCTCTCTCTCTCCTGCTTGCTCTCTTTCTTTAATGAAGCAGCTACCCGCTAAACTTGATGCCATGTGGTCCTGTTTGAGTAAAGAAGGGGAAAAAATTAAAATCAGTTCTCTCTAATTAGAGGAAAATTGTATGTAAACTATTGAAAAGTCTTCTCATACTTACGCTTGACGTTTCTCCACAGGCCTTAATTGCCTGCTGGAGCTAAAGGGTTATGTGCTTTTTTTAAGCTTCTTGTGCTCCTGGCCAAGCCCCTGCTGGGACACTCTGTGAGTAGTTTTAGATCATCAACAGCCCTTGCTATTTTAGTCTATGCCACTGCCTGAGGTTGTAATTAATTTACATGATCCCCCCAAATCATAATTATGACAGCTCTAATATTTGACAAGAGTAAGTTACATTTAGTCTTGCCAAGAAAGTCATGGCGCATTTAGAAGAAGAGCAAAAATCTATACAGTGGCAACAAATATCTCACATAGAAGCAGATCTTCTTCAAAAGCCTTGGTAGAGCTTAACTTGTCCTTGTAAGTAATTTGTGGGCTATGACATGATTGCTAAATTAACTGTGTTCTGCACATGAATTGTATTTTTTTTATCAGAAGTAATGTGTATCAAGTTTGTTTTTGGTTTTGGTCTAAAATTTCATTCATGGACAACATTTGTAGATAAAGGCAATTTTAACTCATTCTTGAGAATATAAATGATGTATGCATCCATAGAATATGAGTTTGTGTTTGTTCTAGACTGAATCACTGAGGAAAAAAACAAACTAGAACAGTATTTAGATTTGTTTCTCTTGGTCCTGCTTTTTCTTCTTTTAATTTAGTTTTACTTGTAATAGCTACATCTTCTGAAGAGTTTTCTCATACTGCAAACTATGAAAGAAAAAGTATGTATTTGCAAAAGGAGAAAGATTTAAGGAATTAATAGTGCACATCTAAGAAGTTGATATCCTGGTTTCTTTTTTGATACATTGGGCCATTCAAATTATGAACACTGACCAAAAGAAAGTATTTTGCATGCAAAAACATTTGCAACAGCACTAATACATTTTTATTAGATCTTTATAAAAATTGTGTACTTAAGCATTGTATTTTTGATATTATTCCCCTATCAAGCTGGTAGCAGGTTCCACACATAATTACTTTTTTTAAGAAAAATGTTTATATAGATTTATTATAGTTGTAGGTGCACAGAGAAAGAAAATAAAATGTAATTTAGAGTCAGGAATTCTGCATTCAAGCATTGATTGCAGTCTGTACTCAGTTTGACTTGATAAATCACCTCTGAACTTCCTTCTTAATCTAAAAGTGGGGATAACAATAATAACAATTGTCAGCTCTACAGAGTTATGATAAGAACCAAATAAGCACAAGAATATTAAAGCATATATTTACCATTTGTAAAAATGATCAAAGATCAGTATTCTATAAAAGTTGATTTTTGCTTAATAACGTTGAAGAAGTTATAATCGAGTTCAGGAAGGAAAAATATGTAAACTAATTTATTTTGGCTTTTTCTGGTTTTCATCGTTCATCTTTTTAATGCTTATTTTAGGAGAGTTGCTAGGCAAGAATACTTCTCTATTACACTTTCTGTAGTAAACAGCATGTGTGAAGAGGTAACGGGCTGAATTGGAAGGACTTGGTTCTGTTTGCACCTGTAGACATAAAAGTCCCTTGAGGTCTCTGAGAGAACTATTTGTCTCATCTACAAAATGGGAGCTGTACAGCTGGAAGGCTGATCACTCACATACAGGGCTCCTGCCTGTCCCGAGCAGCACCGGGCACCCTGGGTCTGCTCTGCTCTGCAAAGAGGTCAAGACCTGAGCTGTCCACGGACTGATGCGGGTTAATCCCAGTCGCTTCTTCAGGGATGCGGGACTGGGAAGAGAGGAAAGTTGCCCCAAGGCAGCGCTCTGCTCAGACTTGGGATATTCATTCCTCAGTTCACAGGGTACCTTTTATTTCTTCTCTAGGAACAAAAGAAGCGTTTTAAATTAAAATTTGATATATTATAGTAATAAATATTGTTCTAAAATATATCTTTAGTATTTCTCAAGACTACTTCAGAATCCTTTCCGGAATACTGGAAGCAGAGGAGGGGCATTAAAATACTGCCAGATTAGAATTTTAGTTAATATTTTGGTTTTTACTCCCCGATCTTTGTTATTTTTAAAATAATAAGTTAATGATATTAACTACGGTCTATTTTGGTTTTGTGGTACATTTCAAAAATGATGTCTTGAATGTTCTTAAGTAAAAATAAAAAAGAACATCTTATCATTAAAAATATAGCCGCTAAATTCTTTTAATAATTTCTCTTTTTTGAAGGATACAATTCATATTTCTCAGCTCAGTTTTGCCGCAGACCAGCTGCAGTCGATGCAGGGTAGGAAGGGGCGAGGTCTCGGGCCGGCGAGTGAGGAAAGAACCTTCGCAAGCAATGTGCAGGTTCCCTCTGAGAAGTCTCAGGGTCTGATTTATTTTTATATCTCTAAGCACTAGCTAGGGAGCATTGGGCGGAACATGTTTACATTTTAGGTTGCCTTAGCAACATCTAGTGAGGTAAAGGTTATTTTGACTAAACGGTATAGTTTTTCTAAGCTGATTCATTTCATTGAACATCATGAATATATTTTAAAAATTACAATTGTCCCTTTATTTACCCACACCTAAGCAGAACAGAAGGTAACTTAATCAAAATCTCTATATCAGCTGGGGTACAAGCAAGATTTAATTAATTAAATGTCAAACTTGTGGTCGTCAGCTGGCCTTTGAGAAACTGCACAATGGTTAATATAGTTTGCTATTAGCTCTCTATATTTCTATACCTCTATTCATCTTATTTAAGTGTTATTTGGGTTCATGGTCCATGAGCAGGAGATGTTTACAGTACTTTGAGAAGAACTGAGTAACTTGCCTCCTTAGTGTATTTATCTGTCTTAACTTTCTCTCTATTTCTTATTTCCCACTATTTCCTACATCTAAAGTCTGTCCTATCAACCTCTTCATAAGGCCCCTTTAGTAATAAGAAGGTCAGCAATAAGAAGGGGGAGTTATAGTGGTGGGAAAACAGAGGGAGTTTCAGGAGAGGTTTCTTTAGAAGTGGATGTGGCAATAGAACTAAGAGAAACTGGAATTTGGGACTTTTGAGCCAGATCAGATTTCAATACATCATTGCCAATTTGCCTTATGGAGAGTTTGTTGTTAGTCACAAACACAATGACTCCTGTGACCAGAGTAACAATTTTAAACATTATGGCGTGAAAAAAATAAAATATGAGGGTACGATGTGCTCCACCCTTCTTTTCCCCAGCTGGAACTTTGTCAAGCAGCCTTGGAGGTCGGTTGGGCTTCGCCACAGTTTTGCATTTTTTATATGTTCAATTTTTATTTCCTTCAACTCTCCTTACTTTGTGTGCTTTCTTTCAAGTATACCTACAATAAAGCCATCTGTTGTCCAAGGGGTCATTCCTGCATGAATCATGCGCTGTCAAAATTTGAGGTTATAAATGTTCAGCTAATTGAGCAGTCTGACTAGCTGAATACTTGTAAGTGCTTTATAATATCTTTCAACACTTCAAAACCCTGGCCCATTTAAACTCCAGGATCCCAGAGCAAATGGGACAAGTTATTCACATGGATGCATGCTGATAAAACTAAAAACATGTTTATGAACTTTTTTTCTCAAAATTTGGACATAGCTCCACTCTGAAATATTTATTTTTGAGCTATGTCTATATTAAGCCAAAGCAAGTGGTTGGGAAGTAGAAAACTTAGCCAACTCGTCAATTAATTTGACTACTCTGTATTAAACAGCTAATCTCATATTTTTTTCCTTGCCAAGTTGAATGGGTGTTTTGGGAGTGTGGATACTTACAGTTTCTAAGACAAGTCATTTTCTCTTTCTCCCACCTCCAATTATTTTTTTTCCTTAGTAGATGAGACAGTGAAAATGAATACACAAATAAACACATAAATTACATAACAGTTCAAGCCACCCACCTAATATTCTTCCTAAGGTTTCTGTGCATTCCTGGGGGATTTATATTCCCATGATCTCTTCTGGTTTGCAGTTTCAGATTTCACAGGATTCTGAGTCTCTCAACTTTATCAGTTCCATCCTCTCTGCTCTGCATGGACTCAAACACAGAATGCAGCCCTTCTCCATGTTTCTCTCAAAAAAGCAAATCTGCTCACAAAAAGTATTTTTCATTGTAGCTAACTTTATTGAAAGACTGAGACTAAGGCAGTTTATAGAGCGGCAATACAATTCTGAATATTGGAGGTTTCTCTTTTGAAATTTATGTTGGAGAACAGGATAGACCAGACTCCCTTTTACCCTTTGCATGAAAACTCTCTAACCAAACCCAAACTTAGTTCTAAGTTTCCAAGGTACATATAAGGAACTCACTAAGGGGACATCTACATACCTACTTTGGGTCTTAACTATTCTTTTTTTTTTTTTTTGCTAATCTTTACAAGGGGAAATGAGAGTTCTAGAAGAGTTTTTACTCCACGCTTTTAAGAAACAGTGATATTCCAACACACACATACACTTGCACACATGCCTGCACACACATACACACATATGCACACACCACCCTCCCCATACTCATGACAGACAGAAAATAAATTTGTATCAGTTTTGGGCTTTAAGCAAAAATTTCTCTTGAATAAATTAATGCTTAAAAGTTTGTAGTTGCAAAATAAGGATAATATTTCAGTGGAAGCTTTTAGCTTGTCATCCAAACTGTCCCAAGCCTATATGTCTGCTGTCATGCTATACCATGGCATCCTTGTCATCTTTCTGTTCCTTGAAGGACAAGCTCATTCCCACCATATGACTTCTGCACCTCTTGGCATCACTAGTTTACTCTTATGATGTATGTCTTAGCCGCAAATTTGTCCTTGTTAGAGATAATACAGCAACATCTTCCCATCCTTCAACCACATCACCCTACAGTCTCTATAATAATCGATTTTATTCCTTCAAAAGGAATGATCACATCCTGAGATCATCTTTAATTTTATGTAAATATTTCTAAATATTTGTGATGACAGGGAGTGCTCTTCTATAGACTTCTATATTTCTAGCAGCCAGAAATGTGAGTGATACCTGGTACGGGCTTAATACATTAAAAAATGAAAATGTGTCCATTGTTAAGGAATGAAAATAATAAAATTTGCTGGATATCATTAAGGAAATACAAGTCAAATATAAGAGACATATGTTATGCCTTATAACAGTTATTATTGAATAGTAATTATAACTAAGACTTCCTGATGTTAATTTAATAGTAGAGCACCTTTTAATATATTCATATTTAGAACACAAATGTTCAGAAAAAATAGTATTACCCTGGGAATTAAAAGAGCCTAGTTAAAGATTAGCATCATGGAATTCTTGTCCAATCCCTTCATTTAACAATTGCGGCAACTGAGACACAGTAAAGCTATCTTGCATGATATTAATTGCAAATTCAAGTCTGGAATCAGGTTTCGTGAATCTCAGATGACTAATTTTTCTCCCTAAATTATATCTGCAGTTTTAATCTAAGAGTAATCTGTTACTGTTATTTATAGAGTAAGCAGTTGAAATTAGATGATCTCTCAGCATTTGTAGTTAAACCACCCTATTTTTTCCTTCTCCTCTATCAATTATTCTACAACTTGATTAGAAACAGTCTCCTCAAACTCTCATATTATCAAGCTTCTACTCAGTGATACTTTAGGTTCCTAGGACCCTAAATGTCTATTATTCGAGGGGCATTGGTGGCCTCTGGCTGGTTGTTGATGACATAGAGCACAGCAGAGCTAATATAACTAATGAATCTACACAAATAGATAAAGGGAGACAGTTGATCATTTTTATGTACCTTCTTGGAGTGGTTTCTGAATATTGAAGATCAAAGCATAGCCAATAAACTATAATGGAAAAGTTAATTACAATCAAACCAATTTTAAAGCTGTGTTTAGTATAGAACAATGGGAAAATTAAAGTACTGTCTGATAATATTAGGGGTTTGGTAATCAATATATTTATTTAGAATTAAATTGTCTTGTTCTTAGGAGAAGACAATTTGTCCTGTGAGCTCCCTCTGTTCTCCACTGTAGTAGCATTTTGTCCTCAAATGGAGCAGATTACCTGTAAACATATGTATCCTACAAACAGATGAGAAAGAAACCTCATCCACTGGTATAAAAGTCTTGCACGAGTCAAATTTAGTCTTTCTTAATTAGATTATTACAAATTTATTATCCAGTTTATCACAAAAAGTTACAAATCTATGAGGTTAGATAATGATTTATACTATACACATTACTTACTAGGTTAAAAATGATGCTGCGCAAATGCAAGGACCCGACTTTGATCCCCAGTACCAAAAAAAAAAAAAGATTTATTCTATATACAGATATAATGCCATAATCTTTTCCAAGAATGCTCTTTACAGAGCCTAGAGCATTTATCTTAATCTTCCCCTAGCCATGGAAAAATAAAAGATAAGTGTAGATTGGAAGTAACAGAGCAGATAAAATATTGTGACAACAAATATGAGTATATTTCTGAGGAAAATAGAGCAATTAAATTTACTATAAGATATGATCATTAGGAATCTATAGACTAGTGTGCTTATGGAAGGAGTTGAGAGACAATTCATAATTTTTATTGTTTATAAAGGGGATTTATGACTCAAAAAGGGACAAGAAGTATGTAATAGTATGTCAACAGAGTATTGAAAAATACATGTCAAAAAATAAGAGAAAAAATTAAATGAGCTTCTCTCCTCTTTCTATCTTCAATTGGATTTGTCACTTTTGATTTCCAGACCTGGAAATCAAATCAAGTTTAGAGCCAAACAGTTGGAAGTATATGAGAACGATTTAGTGAGGATTTATGGAAGAGCCCTTAGGATGAGTAAAAGTAAGACAGTAAGATTTATTAGAAAAGGTAACAAAAATAAAGTTCAGCCAAGTAGAAGATAATGATTTTTACATGTAGAAAACTTTAATATACAGATATGAAGCAGGTGTTTTATCCCCCATTAAATTTTATTTTCACTAGTGACTCAGTGGGAAATTAAGTCCCTTAAATAGTGCTAAGCATCATCTATTAATCTTTTTACACTGAGTCCTCACAAAAAAACCAAAGGAAGAAGGGAAATTTTTCCTCCATTTTCAGAAGTTGCAGATCCAGAAAGACTTTCAAAATGACAAGACACACTGAATTTTAAAATATCAACTTGTGCATTAAGGAGTCATGTGGGCTTCAAGGAGGGAAGAACAGAAGGGCTAATAGAGGTAATAGTAAAGTTAGATTTCAATCACAAAGGAAGAAGCTTTTTTGGAGACTGGTGGACATAGGAAGAGATTGATGAAACAGGCTTTGAAAGTTCGTCTTCCAGAAATGTGCAATGGAAGAAAATTATGTTAAGATTAAGTTCTACATGAAAGGCTGAAGGAATGCACAGCACTTTTTGGGGGGATTTTCCCACGTTTCCTCCAACTCTTATTACTCAAAAGCTAACACTTAAGTCCCCTCCATAAAATTTTGAATATTCAGAATAATAATGATAAAGGTTTTAAGAAGTCTGTTTTTATTACTTTATAAGAATCTTACTGACACTTTGAGGGTGGGAAGACATGAAGACAAAACATGTTTATTCTGAAGATTCCAAAAGAGAGAAATGGTGATACTGGCTTCCTTCAAAACAGCAAC